AATTACCAGGTGTACTCACAACTGCAAAGAAAAGACCTCCCCCCGACCCCCATTCCCGAAACCAGCCAGGGCGCGCCCGGTTGTAGTCTGACATAAAGGCGGGAACCAACCAAGTTCTGCTGAGCGTTCAAATTTAAATGTTAACTAACAACAGCTCTGTAACCTCTAAAAAATATCCCTAACTTGTTTGTGCCTGTCTATAAAAGAAGCTGTAAGATTCTTACTCAAGGTCTCTTAGCGTCACTGGCAACGAGTGCGCGGAGGACCAGGTTCGAACCTGCAATAAACGACCCTTGCCGCTTGGCTTTGATTCTGGACTCTGGTGGTTTTTTTCGGGGGGTCTCTCGAATCGGGGCATATCACTCCCTTATAAGATCAGTACGGGTCCACCCCACAGATGTCTCTGAAGTGTGTGGTTTTAAAACACAGCCATGCCTGAGGTAAAATGCAGAAGTGCTAGTCATCTGGCAGGTGGACAGCTCAGATACAGAGAGGGTGAAGTCGGAGCTCTCACAGAAACCAGAGACACAGGCGACTTCACTGTCTGCACATCTATGAGGGTTTAATGAAGAAGAGTGGTGCACATTTCCAACTCCAGAGATGAAAGAACAGGGCAAAGACATTTTCTCCCTGTGCCCACCAGCTTGATTCACATCAGTGAGCTAAACAGCAACAGCAAGTGGAGAATGGAGCTGCTACACCAAGCACCCCCCTGCAGGCACATTTACACTAGGGCAATTGCACCTGAGAATCAGAGCAGCAGGGTCCTCACCCAAAACAAGCACAAACCCCTTAACCAAACCAAGTCTACTAATCATAGAGTGCTGCAAAGCTTCATTCAGCTCTAGGGGAAAAAGAATCTAGTGTCTTTTTGTTTTGTTTTGTTTTTGTTATTTGTCTTTGTTTTATTTGTTTGTTTTTTGATACATAAAGAGAAATTATTAATGTTTTAATTTTATTTTTATATATTTGTAATTTATATATATACATATATATTAATTTTTATTTTTTTATTCTTTTTTTTTCTAACTTTTTTCTGTCAAGCTTCTCATAACAAACAGGCCAAAACACACCTATGATCAACCTTCTTTTATGTATTTTATTTTATTTTTCTTCTATTTAAAAATTTTATTTTGTTTTATTTTGCTTTTATTTTCTTTCCCCCAAAATGACAAGAAAGGAGAATTCATCACAAAAGAAAGAACAGGAAAAAATGATGGCTAAAATTTTAATAAATGCAGATATAAGTAAGATGTCTGAACTAGAATTTAAAACATTTATAAGGATATTAGCTGGACTTGAAAAAAGAATAGAAGACACTAGATTATCCCTTACTGCAGAGATAAAGGAACTAATTTCAAGGGAGACTCTTTGAGTAGAGAAATTTTTTAAAAAGCAACAAGACTAGAAAAAACCAGAGAACAACACCAGAAACACAAACTCTACAAGTAATACAATGGCATTAAATTCATATCTTTCAATAATCAATGTAAATGTAAATGGCTAGATGTTCCAATGGACATAGGTATCAGAATGGATGAAAGAAACAAGAATCATCTATATGTTGCCTATAAGAGACTCATTTTAGACCTAAGGAAACATCCAGATTGAAAG